AGTTTCTGACCACTTGTAAAATATGTTCAATGTGCTGTCCATTGTGTTGGATTGTCAGTGCAACCCTCTTCTCCCACTCTTCACACACTGATAGCAACACCGCAGGAGAAATGCCAGCACAGGCATCCAGTATCCATAGTTTCAGGTGCTGCACATCTCGTATCTTCACACCATAGACAATTGCCTTCAGATGACCCCAAAGATAAAAGTCTAAGGGGGTGAGATCGGGAGACCTTGGGGGCCATTCAAGTGGCCCACGACGACGAATCCATTTTCCAGGAAACTGTTCATCTAGGAATGCTCGGATCTGGCACCCATAATGTGGTGGTGACCATCTTGCTGGAAAAACTCAGGGAACGTGCCAGCTTCAGTGCATAAAGAGGGAAACACATCATTATGTAGCAATTTCAAATATCCAGTGGCCTCGAGGTTTCCATTGATGAAGAATGGACCCACTACCGTTGTACCTCATATACCACACCAAACCATCACTTTTGTTGTTCCAACAGTCTTGGAGGGATCCATCCAATGTGGGTTAGTGTCAGACCAATAGCGGTGGTTTGGTTGGTTAACTTCACCATTCACATAAAAGTTTGCCTCATCACTGAACAAAATCTTCTGCGTGAACTGAGGGTCCTGTTCCAATTTTTGTTTTGCCCATTCTGCAAATTCTGTGCGGCGATCTGGGTCATCCTCGTTGAGATGCTGCAGTAGCTGGAGTTTGTAAGGGTGCCATTTGTGAGTAGCTAATATCCGCCGAAGGCATGTTCGACTAATGCCACTCTCCAGTGACATGCGGCGAGTGCTACGCTGTGGGCTCTTGCTGAATGAAGCTAGGACAGCCACTGATGTTTCTTCATTAGTGACAGTTTTGTTACGTCCACATTTTGGCAAATCCAACACTGAACCAGTTTCACGAAACTTAGCAAGCAGTTTGCTAACTGTAGCATGGGAGATGGGTGGTCTCGTAGGGTGACTTGCATTGAAATCTGCTGCAATGACCCGGTTACTGCGTTCACCAGTTATCAACACAATTTCGATCCGCTCCTCACGTGTTAACCTCTTCGACATGTCAATGGCTGTGAACGAAGAGAAACTTGTAAATAACTCATGAAAGAATAAAGTTACGTTGAAACCAAGCACACCATTGTTTTCCTTGTGACATTACCAATAAGTTTGATGTGTCACATGGCCCTCTTCCTATTGAGAAAACAAAAGTTGTATCCAAGATGACCGACTTCTAAATGGCCACCATCGTCACCCACCATCTTGAGGAGTTTGCTCCATCACATATACTAATGTGTCACAAACCGGACTTTAATATCACCAACCATTCCCATTTTATTACGGTGTATCCATATAAATGGCCCACCCTGTACATTTAACCTTCTGCAGCTTATTGTGGGACCATCAATAGTCCTGCATAGTGTAAATGACTGTTTTACTTTGGGTGGTAAATCACAAACACTAGTTTCCTTCTGCTCAGGCATGGCCTGCAAACCAGGTTCTCTTATGGATGACAAAAGTATTCTAAGTCTTCATCAAATTCTTTTGCTGGAAATGAAAAAACAATTTTCTTCTGTCTAACAGGATCTATGGGAAACCTGGAGAACTTAGATCTGACACAAGCAGGGTATCTTTAAAAAGTGATGAGTCTAAAGATTGCTTTATTTACAGGGAGTGCAGAATTATTAGGCAAATGAGTATTTTGTCCACATCATCCTCTTCATGCATGTTGTCTTACTCCAAGCTGTATATGCTGTATGTGCATCTCTGTAATGAGAAGGGGTGTGGTCTAATGACATCAACACCCTATATCAGGTGTGCATAATTATTAGGCAACGTCCTTTCCTTTGTCAAAATGGGTCAAAAGAAGGACTTGACAGGCTCAGAAAAGTCAAAAATAGTGAGATATCTTGCAGAGGGATGCAGCAGTCTCAAAATTGCAAAGCTTCTGAAGCGTGATCATCGAACAATCAAGCGTTTCATTCAAAATAGTCAACAGGGTCGCAAGAAGCGTGTGGAAAAACCAAGGCGCAAAATAACTGCCCATGAACTGAGAAAAGTCAAGCGTGTAAGTAAGTAAGTAAGTAAGTAAAATTTTATTTATATAGCACATTTCTAGATAGAAATCACAAAGTGCTTTACAAGATATAACAGATTATAAAAAAAACAAACAAGATACAAACAAAGTTAGCAAAAAGCAATTTTAAAAAGATGTGTTTTTAGCTGTTTTTTAAAAGTAATCAATGAAACAGCGGATCGTAAGTCCTGAGGAAGGGAATTCCACAGTCTGGCGGCCACAATAGCAAAAGCTCTATCACCCCTAGTTTTCAGTCTCGTATACTGAGTGACAAGTAGGCCCTGACTACTCGACCTCAGAGACCTACTAGGGGCATAGGGCTGTAAAAGTTCAATAATATATGGTGGTGCTTGTTGTTGAAGAGCCTTAAAAGTTAAAACCAAAATCTTAAAATGGACTCTAAATTCGACAGGAAGCCAATGTAACTGCATAAGCAACGGTGTTATATGTGAAAATCTAGAAGCGTGCAGCTGCCAAGATTCCACTTGCCACCAGTTTGGCCATATTTCAGAGCTGCAACATCACTGGAGTGCCCAAAAGCACAAGGTGTGCAATACTCAGAGACATGGCCAAGGTAAGAAAGGCTGAAAGACGACCACAACTGAACAAGACACACAAGATGAAACGTCAAGACTGGGCCAAGAAATATCTCAAGACTGGTTTTTCTAAGGTTTTATGGACTGATGAAATGAGAGTGAGTCTTGATGGGCCAGATGGATGGGCCCGTGGCTGGATTGGTAAAGGGCAGAGAGCGCCAGTCCGACTCAGATGCCAGCAAGGTGGAGGTGGAGTACTGGTTTGGGCTGGTATCATCAAAGATGAGCTTGTGGGGCCTTTTCGGGTTGAGGATGGAGTCAAGCTCAACTCCCAGTCCTACTGCCAGTTTCTGGAAGACACCTTCTTCAAGCAGTGGTACAGGAAGAAGTCTGCATCCTTCAAGAAAAACATGATTTTCATGCAGGACGATGCTCCATCACACGCGTCCAATTACTCCACAGCGTGGCTGGCAAGAAAGGGTATAAAAGAAGAAAAACTAATGACATGGCCAGCTTGTTCACCTGATCTGAACCCCATTGAGAACCTGTGGTCCATCATCAAATGTGAGATTTACAAGGAGGGGAAACAGTACACCTCTCTGAACAGTGTCTGGGAGGCTGTGGTTGCTGCTGCACGCAATGTTGATGGTGAACAGATCAAAACACTGACAGAATCCATGGATGGCAGGCTTTTGAGTGTCCTTGCAAAGAAAGGTGGCTATATTGGTCACTGATTTGTTTTTGTTTTGTTTTTGAATGCCAGAAATGTATATTTGTGAATGTGGAGATGTTATATTGGTTTCACTGGTAAAAATAAATAATTGAAATGGGTATATATTTATTTTTTGTTAAGTTGCCTAATAATCATGCACAGTAATAGTGACCTGCACACACAGATATCCCCCTAAAATAGCTAAAACGAAAAACTACTTCCAAAAACATTCAGCTTTGATATTAATGAGTTTTTTGGGTTCATTGAGAACATGGTTGTTGTTCAATAATAAAATTATTCCTCAAAAATACAACTTGCCTAATAATTCTGCACTCCCTGTATTTTAAAGGACAAAAATCATCTCCTACAGAAAGGTGAGCTGTTACTAACACTGACGCTATTTTAGCCATCAGTTTGGTGTTTGACTTAAATTAACTGGAATACTAAGGTATTAAGGAATTCCTTTATTATATAATATATACACAGATGTATATTTAAACGTCTGCAGCTTATTGTAGGACCATCCATAGTCCTGCATAGTGTAAATGGCTGAGGGTCACATCATGAGGACCACGAAATACCTAATTACCATTTAAATCCAAATCATATTTACCTCACTGATTGCACCTTAAACTAAAGTTGATTCACATTCTTTGAAATCTAGATTTACAGAAAACAACGGCAGATAATTGTGCAACAGCTCTTTATGTTGAAGAATGTACGTATCCATTCAGACACAATGAACTCAAGCACTCATTTTACCTGGAAATACCAAGAGTACATCATCACCAGTGTTCACAATCTGACAGTGAAAACAGGACAATAGTAGAAGAGAAGGATCTTAACACTATCAAAGGAGATTTTGAAAGAATCTCAAACAGTTACTGAATCCTCTGAATGTGTGAATTTTTTTGAAATTATTAGAATATAAGAAATGTCAAATGAAAGGAGGATCTGCTGTGAAAATATAATATTGTTGGCATGGATAGCAGGGATAGCTCAGCAGGTAGAGTGGTGGCCCCATGATCGGAAGGTCGGGGGTTCGACTCCACTGAACAGCTACCCTGAGGTACCCCTGAGCAAGGTACCGTCCCTACACACTGCTCCCCGGGCGCTGCATTGGTGGCTGCCCACTGCTTCACTGGGTGAATGGGTTAAATGCAGAGGAACTATTTCCCTATGGGGACTAACTCGCACACTTTACTTTTACTTTACTTTACTTATTGTCCCTGATAGACAATAAATCGATGCAGTCTATTAAGTGTATGGAAAATCCATTGATACAGATGCTGGTTGGGTTTAGAAAGAAAACATTCTGAATAAAAAAAAAAACCCACAACAAAAAAGTGCCTGCATTAAATTTGCACACATATGCTAAAGTTATTTGACAAACATAATAGAAGGTGTCAGGTTGAATTTACACAATGATCTTTCATGGAATTAACACATAACTGTTTATCAGATGTACAATGTTGAAAAAATGCTAAGCTGAGTAGCTGAGTATCAATGAGATCGTCAAGAGTGGCAAACTTTTACAGCTACATGGAGTCATATATAATCTAAACACCTTAGTTTTTTTTTCTTCAGATGTCACTTACATTGTCTTTCCCCTGTGCATGAACTAATATTCATGAGTCCTCCACAGACTGGACCAGGAAAATTCAGAGGTTTCTAGTGGTCATTTTGTCCAGCAGGATCAAAAACAGCTGGACTCCATATTCATGGTGCGTACATACAGTATATAACAACCACTCTTACATCTATTATGTTCATTCATCTTCATGTTGCTCTTTGTAGACCAGTGAAAGGACATGATGTCAGCACTATTTTGTCATTGACATAATGTTCTTATAATATTTTGTTCCAGCTGTTAGAGGACAACATCATCACGTTTGTAAAGAATGAACTGAAGAAGATGCACGAGATTTTGAGTCCAGATTATTTAGAGATGGAAGAAGATAATATGTCGAAGGATGACAATAAAAAGCAGAGGAGTAAAAGCAGAGAGGCATTTGTGACAATTGTGTTACACTTTTTGAAGAGAATAAAGCAGGAAGAGCTGGCTGACCGTCTGCAGAGCAGTAAGGGGATTTCTCAAAACATTTAAGCTGCAGCATGAATTTAAAATTGAAAAATGTCTCAATACTTACTGAATTGAAATTTTGGGATATTTTCTGAAAACCAAATTAATGTAATGTATTTTTGTGTTTTCAGAAATGTTTGCTCCACTTTGTCAATGTAAACTTAAATCTACTTTGAACAAAAAGTTCCAGTGTGTGTTTGAGGGGATCACTAAAGCAGGAAACTCAACACTTCTGAATCAGATCTACACAGAGCTCTACATCACAGAGGGAGGGACTGCAGAGGTCAATGATGAACATGAAGTCAGACAGATTGAAACAACATCCAGGAAAGCAGACAAACCAAACACAACAATCAGACTAGAAGACATCTTTAAAACTTTACCTGGAATAGATGAACCAATCAGAACAGTGCTGACAAAGGGAGTGGCTGGCATTGGGAAAACAGTCTTAACACAGAAGTTCACTCTTGACTGGGCTGAAGAAAAATCCAACCAGGACATCCAGTTCATATTTCCATTTACTTTCAAGGAGTTGAATGTGCTGAAAGAGGAAAAGTTCAGCTTGGTGGAACTTGTTCATCACTTCTTTACTGAAACCAAAGAAGCAGGAATCTGCAGCTTTGAAGACTTCCAGGTTTTGTTCATCTTTGATGGTCTGGATGAATGTCGACTTCCTCTGGACTTCCACAAAACTAAAATACTAACTGACTCCAGAAAATCCACCTCAGTGGATGTGCTGCTGACAAACCTCATCAGGGGGAATCTGCTTTCCTCTGCTCACATCTGGATAACCACGCGACCTGCAGCTGCCAATCAGATCCCTCCTGAGTGTGTTGACATGGTGACAGAGGTCAGAGGGTTCACTGACCCACAGAAGGAGGAGTACTTCAGGAAGAGATTCAGAGACAAGAAGCAGGCTTCTAGGATCATCTCTCACATCAAGACATCACGGAGCCTCCACATCATGTGCCACATCCCAGTCTTCTGCTGGATCAATGCTACGGTTCTGGAGGATGTGCTGAAAACAAAAGAACAGAGAGACATGCCCAAAACCTTGACTGAGTTGTACATCCACTTCCTGGTGGTTCAGGCCAAAGTGAAGAAGGTCAAGTATGATGGAGGATCTGAGACAGATCCACACTGGAGTCCAGAGAGCAGGAAGATGGTTGAGTGTCTAGGAAAACTAGCTTTTGAACAGCTGCAGAAAGGAAACCTGATCTTCTATGAAACAGACCTGACAGAGTGTGGCATCGATGTCAGAGCAGCATCAGTGTACTCAGGAGTGTTCACACAGATCTTTAAAGAGGAGAGAGGACTGTACCAGGACAAGGTGTTCTGCTTTGTCCATCTGAGCATTCAGGAGTTTCTGGCTGCTCTTCATGTCCATCTGACGTTCTTCAACTTCTGTGTCAATCTGCTAGAAGGAGAAACCTCTGCATGGTCTAAAGCATTTAATAAACTCAAACTCCAAAACTGTGGTGGACAATTTCTTCACAAGAGTGCTGTGGACAAGGCCTTAGAGAGTCCAAATGGACACCTGGATTTGTTCCTTCGTTTCCTCCTGGGTCTTTCACTGCAGTCCAATCAAGCCCTTCTACGAGGTCTACTGACACAGACAGGAATGAGCTCAGAGACCAATCAACAGACAGTCCAGTACATCAAGAAAAAGATCAGTGAGAATCTGTCTGTAGAGCAAAGCATCAACCTGTTCCACTGTCTGAATGAACTACATGATCGTGCTCTAGTTGGGGAGCTCCAACAGTCCCTGAGTATGGGAAGTCTTTCCACAGAGAAACTGTCTCCTGCTCAGTGGTCAGCTCTGGTCTTCATCTTATTGACATCAGAAAAAGATTTGGATGTTCTTGATCTGAAGAAATATTCTGCTTCAGAGGATGCTCTTCTGAGGCTGCTGCCTGTGCTCAAAGCATCTAAGAAAGCTCTGTATGTTACCATAAAGTTTTTAAGATCTATTCACAAGGAAAATAAAGACTGAATTTGCTGCTTTCTGTGTATTTTCTCTTAGGCTGAATAACTGTAACTTGACAGAGAGAAGCTGTGAAGCTCTTTCTCTGTCTCTCAAAGTAGAAGGCTGTGAGCTGAGAACGCTGGACCTGAGCAATAACAATCTGCAGGATTCAGGCGTAAATCTCTTGATAGCTGGAATGGAGAGTATGCACTGTAAATTAGAGAAACTCAGGTCAGATACATTGTTTGTGGTTTAATGTGAGAGCTGTTTGCTAATTCGAACCTTCATTGAATGTAAACAATAACATGCACTCCTGAATTTCTTTAAGCATTTAAAGTTTTCCAGTTTCATATTGAGATTTACACATTTATTTAGTACTTTGGGGAAAACTTTGGAATTGTCTAAATTAGCAATTTTTTTTGTTTTTATTTAACAATTTGTTTATCTTCAATAAGTATCAAGAATCTTTTTTAGGCTTTAGCAGGTGTAGGGATTATATGTTATATATATCACGTGTGATTAAAAGTTTAAATTAGACATTTTAAAAATGTTTTTTTTCTTCTAAATTACTGTCTCTTCAGACTGAGCACTTGTAACCTTTCAGAGAAAAGCTGTGGAACTATGTCGTCAGTTCTCAGTCTCCAGTTCTCTAGTCTGAGAGAGATGGACCTGAGCAACAACAACCTGAGGGATACTGGAGTAAAAGCTTTGTCGGATGGACTAAGAAGTCCACACTGTAAATTGGAAACACTCAGGTCAGAAATAATCAATTGTTTAGTTGATGAACATTTTGAAATCTGGATTGCATAAGTAACCCAAGCCGGGGTTAGTTACTTATGCAAGTTTGAGGGGTTTTCTTTAACATTTCCATTTTTTTCTTCTTTAATTCTTGCCCACTGATAAAATTAAGATTTCTCCTTCGTTTGATTTTTGAACTTTGAGTTTTAAATCTGGACTAAATGTTTATGATCAAAAAGTGAATAACATACAAACGTACAGTTTATGGAATGTAATGGTCACTTTCCACTGAAATATTTCAACACAGATATCGTGATTCAGGCTCAGTCACCAAGCTAACTAAATCCCAAAAGGTTGATTCTGTTGATCTGGATGTAACGATGAACAGAATCAACCTTGGATTTCAACACAGACTAGAAATTAAATTGGTTCGTATTATAACCAGAATGAATTATTATTGTAGTTTGTCCTGTACTTTTTTGTGCTAATTATCTGCTGTTCTCTAATAGTATCTGTAATGATTATTATGTGCAGGCTGTCGGGCTGTCTGATAACAGAAGAAGGTTGTACTCTTCTGGCCTCAGATCTGAGGTCTAATCCCTCCTGTCTCAGAGAGCTGGACCTGAGCTACAATCATCCAGGAGAGACAGGCATGAATCTGTTGAAGCAGCTGAGACTTGACAATCTCAGGTACAGAGAACGTCTCATAGCATCACACACATTTGAACACAGACGACTTATCAGAAGAAAGAGTATGTGATGCAGGAGCTTTTATGTATTGTAATCAAAAAGTAAAGTTATGTGTTTAGTTTGTGGAGAGCAGATTGCTGTGTTAAGACAAGATTTTTGATTTTCAACATAATCACAAAAACACAGTAAGCCATTCTCTGATGGGGAATTTAACACAGTGTTCAGTAGGTTCTGCCATGATAATATGCCCTGAGCTGGTATGTGTTCTGAGCCCCGCATGATCAAAGTCAAAGTCAACTTTATTTGTCAATTCTGCCACATGTACAGGACATACAGAGAATAGAAATTTCGTTACTCTCAAACCCTAGATGAAATAGCAAATGAACATTTAAATATAAGAGAGTGATTAAAAAATGCAAATAAAATAATTAAAAAGTAAAAATTTAAATAAATAAATACAATACAAATTAACAAGAAAGCTATGCAATATACAATATACAATATTCAGGTAAGGGTAAATGACATTGAGTGCAAACCAGGCAGAGTAGTGCAAATAGGCAAATAGTGCAAATGGAGATTTAGTAATGTACGGTAAGAGATAGTATAACAACAAAGTCTTATGAGGTAATGGCAGTCCAATGCTCCACAAAGTGACTGGTAACTGGTGCAGGCCAGTGAGTGAGTCAGAGAGTGTGTGTGTGTGTGTGTGTATGTGACAGAGTTCAGTGAGACCATGGAGGAGAAGAGGGGAGAGGGGGCAGAATCGGGAGGGAGTTAAGCTTCCTGACAGCCTGATGGATGAAGCTGTCCTTCAGTCTGCTGGTCCTGGCCTGGAGACTCCGCAGTCTCCTCCCTGACGGCAGCAGCTTGAAGATCAGCCGCTATGCAAAGGGCTTTTTTAGTGAGACGGGTGCTGTAAATGTCCTGGAGGGAGGGGAGAGAGACACCAATGATCCTCTCTGCAGCTCTCACTATGCGTTGGAGGGTTCTATGACAGGACGCATTGCAGGCTCCAAACCACACAGTGATGCAGCTCGACAGGATGCTCTCGATGGTGCCTCTGTAGAAAGTGTACATGATGGGGGCTGGTGCTCCTGCTCTTCTTAGTTTGTGGAGAAAGAAGAGACGCTGCTGTGATTTCTTGGCCAGTGCTGTGGTGTTGTACGTCCAGGAGAGATCCTCTGTGATGTGCACACCCAAGAACTTGGTGCTGCTCACTCTCTCCACAGACGCTCCGTCAATGGTCAGAGGAGCATGTTGGGTGTGCATTCTCCTGAAGTCCACAACAATCTCCTTCGTCTTCTCCACATTCAGAGAGAGATGATGAGAGCAATTCCAAAACAGTTTAGAATGAAATGCACATGATTTCATTTCCCTTAACTTGCATTATAGGGAAAGGCTCCAATGATGTTCAGATTGAACTAATTGATATGCAGTCTGATTCAATACTGTCAGTCTGATTCAACTAGTATCACTGCTGGGTAGACCTGCTCAGAAGATGTTGGTTCTCTATGGATCTACATTTATATGTCAACAAACAAACACAGGAATGATATTTAACAAATCCAAGTACAGATTCTCTGTCAGTGATGATCACCTGTCTGCTGTCCTTCACATTTCCATCTCAGATATTGGACCTGACTTTAATGGACAAACAAACTAGACTTCTCTCACTGAAAAAGAAAAAAGAACCAAAAAACTGAACAAAATAACTAAAGTAATTAGTTTAATTGCTTAGTAATTAGTAAAATTAAACTCCATTGAAATTGTGTAAAAACATGCATGCTTCATTCGCACTCACTTGGGAGTATTGATGAAATAGCTTTTAGTATGCTGTGACTTAAAGTGACTGTAGCTCAAGAGGTAGCACAGGCCAACTACTGATAAGAAGAGTAGGTGATTTGATCCCCGGCTGCTCCTGTCTGCATGCTTTCAATCTTTTTGTTGGACTACACTGTTTTTTTGGGGGTTTTTTTTATATGTAGCTGTAAGGTTTGGTTCTCTGCGCACCTGTGGAGGCATACAAGTGCACCGGTGAACCCCTTTTAACCTTAGCTTCATTGTCTTTTTAATTAGGAAGTCTCCTGTGAAAAGAATTTTTTTTTAAACTACATAACTGAGTGATGTTTAAGTTAATGAATGATCATTTTGACAAATAGAGATTACAATGGTGATCCACATAATTTAAATTATGAATTCTGCTATAATAAAACAGACTAACTAGATCATGACAACCACTGGACAAGACTTCAGAAGCATTTTCTTCAAGTGTATTTGTGAAAATGTTTGACTGTTCCTTTATCAGTGTCTAACAGCATGTGTGTGAGAGCGATGTAATGTCCATGTGTGCATGCTGAAAGAGACTGTGGTGGTCTGACCCCCCTCCTCCTTTCAGAGTGGAGCCTGCTGGAGTCCGATGGCTGAAACTAGGAAGTCTGAGGAAGTGTAAGTGTGTTTTTAATGTGATTCATGAAAACAAAGCAGCAGACATTCAACCATCTTCAAACTGTCACATCACTCATTCACATCTCTGATGTCAGGAGTCATCATCAAAGTGTCAATCAATGAACAGATGATGGATCAATAATTGCAGCTGTATTGTGTTTGTTCTCTCCATCAGATTCCTGTCAACTCACAATCGACACAAACACAGTACACAGAAAACTCAAACTTTCTGACAACATGAAGGTGAGAAAAGCAAAGGAAGTTCAATCATATCCTGATCATCCAGACAGATTTGAACGGCCTCAGCTGCTGTGTAAAGATGGTCTGACTGGCTGTTGTTATTGGGAGGTCGAGTGGAATGGAAAAGTTGAGATATCAGTGAGTTACAGAGGAATCACAAGGAGACGAGACAATGACTGTTTGTTTGGATGGAGTGATCAGTCCTGGAGTCTGAGCTGCTGTGATGATGGCCGCTACTCTGCCTGGCACAATAAGAAATCAACATCCATCTCCTCCTCCTCCTCCTCTGTCTCTAACAGAGTAGCAGTGTATGTGGACTGTCCTGCTGGCACTCTGTCCTTCTACAGAGTCTCCTCTGACACTTTGATCCACCTCCACACCTTCAACACCACATTCACTGAACCTCTTTATCCTGGGTTTGGAATCTGGTCCTCTGGTTCCTCAGTGACTCTGTGTAGTTTAGCATAATAGTGTCCTAACAGATAGTTTAGTCCGTACATGTCGGTCTCTTTCATTTTGAAACATGTTTTCAGATTTATGGATTCAGCTGATGTTTTAAACTGTTCTAAATGATTTTTGTAAACTTCTTTCCTGGCTTTGTAAGTTTGTTGAGCAGTCAGGGTTCATCTTGATATTTATTTTTACTTTTGTTAGTGTGATGAAATCATAACTAGATTTTAACGTGTCTGTGGTCAAATTTGGAGAATTAAATGGTCCTTTAGAACCTAGATATACAGATAGTCAGTTACCAATACTGAACATTGTTTTACTCTGTTGTGGTATAGACTCAAATAAAACAGTGACAAAAAGACTGTAACTGTGACTGTAAATCATTCATTTACCTGTCCAGATGACCTCTTGTGTTATAATATAAGAAGATGTGCTCTATTTATCCATACCATGTATCTGGTCACATGGTCCAGCTTTACAGAATATTATATCTAAGTTGTGCTCTTCTTTTGGCTCCCTGGCCCTCAAATTTCTCTGTCATCATAACTGGGAGAGGCTCAAATGAGAGGATGAGGTTCAAGTGAAGCATGCAAGGAGACACATTACCAAAAGAAAAAGCAACCAAAGTGTTGATGTTTAACAGAAGTGAATGTAAGTAAAGGTGCAATAATAATGCATTAAGTGAGCAGCGCCCTCCACTGGCAAGAGAGTAGAACTGATCATCAGCACTGGTGAGCTCATGCCATTGTAAAGGATCCTCTGTCAGTCCATCTTGCCACTATTCACAAGACTCTCTACTCCTGCTAAAGTATTGGTCAAATTTTATTGAAACTTGCCCACCCTGAGGACCTGATGTGTGTACATTACATACATACACATGTGTATGTGTGTACATTACATACATACACATGTGTATATGTCATTTTGTTTAATTATTGATATTGAAACAGGTCTGATCAGGTCGGTACAATTACTGGGTTAGGATAGTTGCACTGCATGTGGCAATTATAAGCAACACACAGTAGCAGTGGCTCATGGTCAAAGTAGTCAATCATTTTACCTGAACCCTTGAATCTCTCCCTTGCTTATTATGTCCCCCCATCAATTTTCTTACTGCGATAATTTCACCTTCCTCCATCTCTTCCTCACTCTGTTGTTGGGACTGCTGTCCCTCCTACAGCGTCCTGTGACTGTAAAGCAGGGGTCCCCAATCCCAGTCCATGAGGGCCGGTGTCCCTGCAGGTTTTAGATGTGTCCTTGATCCATCACAGCTGATTTAAATGGATAAATTACCTTCTCAACCACTATATCCCAATTCAGGCTCTGCAGCCTTAAAGTACACAGCCTTAACGGTCCACAAGGGCCGCTAAGGTCGGAAGTGAGAGGCTTGTGAAATGGGACGGTCTAACCTCCGTCATGCTGCCCAGGTTGCCTAGCAACCGTGACACCGACAGCTGGAAACACTTCGTACAGCTTTGTTTGACAGAAATGAAGGAGAAAATGTTTTGTTCATTTATTTGTTTCTTTCTACATGAGCTTTGATTTGATAAGTATCTGAGGCTGAGACCACAGAACTGTGAAATCATGATTATTGGGCTTCACTTCTGTACTGAACAGTCATTTAAGATTAGCTAGTAAATAACAATTAGCTGATGTTGTTCATGAGACTAAAGTCATATCACTTTGGTAATGTAAATATAATATGGGCAATATTAAAGTTATAATTTCAATCATTATTAGTTATTACAGCATTGAATGAAGTCTGTTTCAAATACTGAGCTTCAGTAAAGATTCAAGCTGCATTTATTTATATTATTTATATTTCCTGTCACCTTAAATCTTCACTCAAAGACAGGTTTCTTTGACACTGTATATATAACTGTGTTATATATATATATATGAGAGACAAATATTTTTCTTTTAATAATAACAATAATAGTAATGGATTGAATTTATATAGCGCTTTTCAAGGCACCCAAAGCGCTTTACAATGCCACTATTCATTCACTCTCGCATTCACACACTGGTGGAGGCAGCTACAGTTGTAGCCACAGCTGCCCTGGGGCAGACTGACAGAAGTGAGGCTGCCATATCGTGCCATCAGCCCCTCTGGCCAACACCATCATGGGGAGGCTCGCGGCTCTCCAACGGGAGATCGAGAGACCAGTGTCAGAGTGCTAAATTCGCTGCTCGCATAAAGGAGAAATCAACAATATTCAACATATGGACATCACGGCGCCAGCTGCTCAGGCCCAAGGCTGGAGCCCACCAAAACAACTCCCTGATAACGACTGTGTGATGACTATTCTTCCCATGCAAGGCCACCTGGGTTGGCTGGATACTGTTTACTTAGCCTGATAGGGCGAAGGACACTGTCTCAGCTGAACTCTGGACATGCACACACATACACTTACACTGATAAGCACGCACTCATCCCCCTCCCTTTCCAAACGCCTTCGATGCTTGTTTCCTGCGGGGGAAGACGGCGGGTCTGCGTGCCGCGCTGAAATGGTAGCGCTGTATAGGACGACTGCTGTCTTCCTTCGGATTACCCCCCACCCCCCTATCCACTCCTGTGGCTAGTCACGTGCTCTAATGTTGTGATGTGGACATTAATGTGCTCTCTGTGCAGAGGAGGTTTTTTTTGTTTCCTGTTCATGCTGTCCTCCCATAGGTGCCCAGCCTGAGAAGAGGTCTCTTTTTTTCCTCTTGTACTTTTTCACATTGTTGTGTAACTTTTCAGTGTTTTCTCTGCACCGATCTCCGACTGTATTCCCATGTGATGTCTTTGTTGTGTGTGTGTAAGTCCGGGGGGGGGGGTCCTATTCCTCTGCGGGGCAACCTGCATATGACCAATAAAGCATTCAATCAATCAATCAACCAGTAGGCGGTAGGGTGAAGTGTCTTGCCCAAGGACACAACGACCAGGACAGAGAACCCGGGGATCGAACCAGCGACCTTCCGGTTACAGATACACTTCCCAACCCCCTGAGCCACGGTTGCCAAAATGACATATTAATATGTTGGCATTACTAAATTTGTCTCAGTGCTGACTTTAAATATCCATAAAATCATCACATTCTCTGTAAGATTAACGTCAACTATTGAACGGCGTATATATTAAAGTAAAGGCTTTAAAACCAAGTTAATACAAACATCGCTAATGTCACATAACTTTCCCGACATGTGGCCAACAGTAATGTTTTAATGTTCTTCGTTATTAAGCATTCGCACATAAGTAACATAATATTCAGTTCTTACTTTTAAAAGTTTGCTCTTCGGCCACCCCTCTTCTGCCGTTTTTTTTCCCCGGCAAAATTATCCACACCCACAGCCGCGCTATGCATTCTGGGATATGTTGGGCCACCAAGTCTACACCGCCACATCCTTAAAATTCAGTGAAATGAAGGACGCATTTGAGGGCCGCATTTCGAGCAGCCTTTGAAATGGGACAGCCTTCGTCGCGTCGCTGTGACGTAATTAAAATGCGGCCTTTAAGGCTGCAGACCCTGAATTGGGATACAGCCAATGGTATTGTCCCAATTCAGGGACACAGCCATTTTAACTCCGTGAGACACGTTACATACAGCATTGTTTGACAGAAATGAAAGAGAAAAATGTTTTGTTGGTCATTCATTTTTGTCATGACATCACTTTGATTAGTTGAGTATCTGAGGCTGAGACCACGGGACTGTAAAACATGATTGCTGGGCTTCATTTCTGTGCTGAACAGTCATTCCAAGATTAGTTAGTAAATAACAATTAGTTAATGTTGTTCATGAGACTAAAGTCCTCTCACTGTGGTAATGAAAATATAATATGGCCAATATTATAGTATTGTCAGATTATTATGATTGATATATATAGATCTATCTACCTTCATAAACATTGAATTCAACCTATGTCAAAATAAATACAGTATCACAAAGTAAAACTGCTGAGAAAGTGCTCTTTTAAGTGAAAAACAGGTATGAATGATTATTTCTCTGTGTGTTACCCTGTGGTAATGTGTTTGGGTGTACACCCAGGATCATATTATGACTTTGACATATGACTTTAATTGATATCGCTGTTTGTGTCATGGTGTGAGTATGGTTATCAGCAGTCATCTGTACAATTATCAAAGGTTGATTTAAAAACACTTCATGTCATCTACGTTCATTAAACTGACTCCATGCAGTTCATCTTCTCACTGGCAGAGGGACATAACTCAACATCTCGCCAGAGATAAAAGAGACATTGGTGACGTTAGTGCTGTACATACTGATCTGATTAATATGGAACTTCATGTTTCTTTTATTATATCAATTTTAAAAACAAGCTATTTTTTTTAAAAAAAAATTAAAGGAACATGTGAGGCTGAATGTCATTAATATTTATTATACATTGGGTGTACAGTAAAACAGTCATATAGCACCGCCCACAATGTGGTTTTCCTTATTTGGGAACAAATCAAAGCAAATACCTAAATGTAACCTAACTGTGAAATTTTACTCCTGAGACCTTCCCTTCTAGACTGGAAGACTGTTCAGTGCTTAATCAAACTGCATGACACTGACAGTCACTTGAGCACAGGGAAGTGTGACACAAACAGACTGACACTCTGGGCTATTTCAGTAAGTCTACAAACATACATCAGTGTGACTGTGAAACCACAAAGCATTACTGTCACGGGACCGAGTGGTCTGTACTGAACAGGACTCAGATGCAGAACCCCAGAGCAGAGACAGCAGATGATGTAACAATAATTTATTAGGCTTAAGTGCAAGAAACGTAGTAAGGACAAAAAAAACCCCAGTAAGACGTGGAGTTTGACATGGCGTGGCCTGGGAAACGTGGCTAGGGCGAGGGAAAGGGGCCTGAGATGCAAAGTGGAGCTGAGCAGGGAACAGTCACACTGAAGAGAGAAGACAGTGGAGTTAGGGAGGTAGTGGAGGCAGCTCTGAAGTGGTAAGTTGTAAGAGTAGCAATTCTTACTTGCAGTTGGGGACATAGAGTGTTGAGAGGGGGGTGATGAC